AAAAATTTGAAAGGGACATGAAAGGTTTCCGAAAAAACCTACCCTTTTTAAAAAAAAAAAAAAAAAAACCCCCCCCCCCCCCCCCCTCCTCTTTGAAACTTCTAAAGCTGTTAACTGATGCCGTCTGTACAGGGCCCTGTAGGTTGAAAGCATCGTGCATTGCGACTGAGCGCAAGCATCTCAATTCCATAACTCACCCATATTCGCCCCATATGGAATCTTGCGCTTGGTCGCAATGCGTAATGCTTTTGAGTTACGGGGCCCAGGTTCACAGTTCAGTTTGTTGAGGATGACAACTCAATACCCTGGATTGATCCTTGTCAAAACCAGTTAATTTAAACCTTGATACCTTAAATACAGAATAATAAGGTTATAAATGTTTTGTTCATAATGAAATTTACCCCCTCCCCCCCCCCAAAAAAAAAAATTTTTTTTTAAACAAAAAACAATTAGGCACTAGTTTTATTTATTTTGGTATTGAGGTTAAAGGGTGCATTCCCATAGATTTTAGATCAATCTATCCCCGTGGGGAGTCTCACTTGATTACTATCAGATAATCCGGCTTAAATGTCCGTCCCGCCTACTACAAGCTGTAAGGGGGTAATTAACTTTGGTGCCTGCCCGGCTGACAGCTATGTAGCATGAACCCTCCCAGGGAGTTAGGTCGATCTAGTTGGATTGATCTAATCTCTGGGAATGGGGTCTAAGTGTACGGTAATGACTCAGTCTTTTCAATCAGCAAATATTATCAAACTTTTAGAGGCATAATTTTACAAGCACAAAATTTAAATTTCTGTATGACGTTTGTGGTTCTTTACTGCATAGAATAGAACTGTAGAATAGCCTGCTTTTTACTTTTGTTGCTACCACTCAATAGGAATGTTCTTATGTAAGAAATTATGACTTAAAAAACTTTATCTGTAAACTCCACAATTGTCCCCACTGAAAGGATGGAGTAATTACCATAACATACAGTCGTTGCTGTCTGTAAAACACGACATGGCAAGATCACATGGCTGACACATGGCTACAGGCCACTACATAGTTACCATTTGGTCTGTATATGGTGTCTGAACTGCGATGTTGACACAGATATGAGGGTGAGGCATGTTTGCAGGTGCTTCAGATAGAGGAATAAACAAAATGTTAGATAGGGCAAAAAAAGGCTTCTTCAGTGCAGATGTCCTAACATTGAATGCAAAGGCTTTAAGTAGGGTTCGGATTGCACTGGTAGGTTTTCATTGATCCCTCTTGAAAATTAATACCTTTTTTTAACACAGTGACTTGCATGACTGAGAAAACATTTTTTTTTTCAAAGTACAATTACAGCAGTGTCTGTACATGAAAAATGATAAGTGGAGAAAGGCTGAAATATCTTTATTGCCTTCAGCTGAGCCCAGCTGTCTGTGACTGGAATTTAGATGAAATCTCTACTATAAACTGTGTACTGCAGCAATAAGTTCTGCTAAGTTTAGTTCTGCTAAAAACAATTTTAGTGTTATTTGCAGTTCTGTGTGAATGGATGTCTCAAGTAAGGTGTTACATGCAGGTTTCCATTAATGTTGCCATAGATGATAGGCTTTAATTTAACAAAAAATAATAAAATAAAATAAAAAGCATGGCATTTTCAACATTTTTCTCTTTAACACCAAGATGTAACCTATATCAAAAAACCTCTAAAAATTATAATCAGTAAATTCATTTATGGAGTGTAAGTTTTATTTATTTATTTATTTATTTATTTATTTATTTATTTATTTATTTATTTTTATTTTAACCATCAGGAGTGAAATTCACCTGTTTTCACTTCATTACAAGCAAGTGACTTAAAAATGAGAAACCAAAGATTCAAAAACTAGTTAAATTAGAACCAGTTCTGTGGACATGATACGATTCACACTGATGATGAAAGTGGGCGTTTCCTGCAAGAAAAAAAAATAATGATAAGAGCAATTTTCTAAAATTCTCCTATTATCAGAACTTTATTTGACCCGTCTCTGCACTTGGTTGTGACATTCCATGCCATTTCTGATTTTGAAATAATTAAGTTCTTATTGACCAGTCGGCTCTACATGTTTTCATTTATTAGCCAGGTTTTATTGTTTCTAAATTGGGTTTAAAATAAGTAGCTTTACAGGATGTGTATCCTGTGTTCACATGGAAAATAGGCTTTGGGGGATATTTCCAAATGAGGTAAGTTTGCCTTAAAGATGCATACAAAGTCAATTTTTTGTCACAAAAACCAACCAAATGCCAGCATATAGTTTCAAGTAGTATAACTAAGAGAATTACCAAAAGGCATTGTTTAATTTTACCCGAAAAAGGTGTTTGAACGGATTTTTCTGCTGGCATTCTAAGCTGTATGTCAATGGGGCAGGAAAGTAGGTCACGAAAGTAGGTTAAATTTACAACCAAAAATTTAAAGAAAGGAGCAGTCTAAAGGTATTTTATGGCTGATCGAGTGATCTATTCAGTTTATCCCTTGACATGTTGAATTTATTTGAGTCATATAAGAATCTAGTAGAAGTGGTTTACATGTGTTACTGGGAATCCACGCTCCACCAATGCTCGGTTCGTATGTACCTTTAAAGGAAAAAGTGTGGACATTACCAGGAAAATGTAATTTAGAAGTCTTGAGGAAACGGCTCAAACGTGCAGTTTAAAAAAAAAATTTCCAGATTACCCAGTGCTGTGTGCATTAACTCAAAGCTTTGAACAGGCCAATTGACACCTGACTGATAAGGTATCTGCAGGTAGGAAGTTCCCAAGGAAAGCCATAGAATAATGCAAGGGTTTGTGTGTGAATTTACTCATAACATTTATAGGATGTCCTGTTTACAGGAATAGATTCCTCTAAGGAAACAGATATTGAGACTTCATTGTGGGCATATTGGAATATAACTTGAGACTCAGATCTAGATAGATATCTCTGTAATATGCAGTGACTCAAGAGAAAAGAGGAATTACACAGAAAACTTTGGACTCCTGCCATTGTATTCTCTCTGCCGTGCCTCATGAACAAGGTGACAAATTTTACCAAGGCACAGTAGAGTGTAGTATGATCTCTGCAAGAGACTGTAGGGCCTGTCTGAAGACAGTCACCAGGGGTAGGGAAACTGCCCTGTTGACTTAAAATATTCCATTCTGTATAAGAATTTGATCTAGGTCCTATGCCATTTCTTAAGTTGGGTCAATTAAAAGCAAAGGTGAAGATGGTTCATATTTTCAGGAAAAGATGCCCCCCCCCCTCCCTAAATTGATGACTACAGACCTAATTGTCCTGTTGTGACATGATTTTTTTTTGAAGAATAAAACACAATTTTTGCCATTTCCCAGAAAATTTTGAAGAATATGTGGGAGTTTTCAGTTTCTTTAGTTAGAGAGTAGATAAATTAGGTGTGGAAATATTTCCTTGTCAAGACAAAAAAAAAAAAGTTGCTAGGATACTGTGTTTTAAATGGATGGGGATGTTTTAAATTTAAGTTAGATATCAGTGGACAAGGTATTGAATGTGCAACAAATACCATTTAGTAAAGTGTTTCATATGACAGTAATTTTCCCACCTTTGTGACTAACTGAAAGGGCATTGTTATGCGGATCACATAGGAAACTATTATTTTATAAATCTTAATAATATTATTCTATTTTGGCAAAACATAATAAGTTGTTACTGACCCAACTTTTGGGAAATAACTTCTTATCATTTCTTTTGGATTTGTTTGTGTGTTTCTATTTTTCACTTAGAAGTATTTGTAGGACATTCCTTTGGTAAGTGGGGGTATTAACAATTGGCTAACAACAAACAAAAAATAAAATGCTAGTAAAGAACAAACCAAAAACATTTACCATTCCTATTCACAAATAATCTTAACTCACAAACTTGTATCTCAGACCGCATTCAAATTGAGCCAGGCTTTACAAATCCTGAGAACTAAAAATGGCGGACGTACATGAAAGAAAAACCGTCTCAGTTTAGTTTGGTCTTATCATTAAATGGATGTTTTCCTGCACTTTCAGTGACATTTACTGGAAACTGGGTTCATTTACCTAGATGTATTTCATGTTTGGTATAAGTAACAGGCCAATTTTAATTAAATGCTGAATTTAATGAGGTCATTGCCACATGGGGAGGCGTGAAAGAAGTGGAGAGACCATTACAAGATTAAGCAGTCTTGTCTTCATGTAGGTCTGCCATATTTAGGCCATGGACCAGCTAGCACTGGGCTCTTCTCATTCTGAATAACCCCTTGTGTGTTACATGTGTGCATTTACACATTATTACTCGTGATTAGAAGACGGCAGCATGGCTCGAAGCTAACATGTATTTTTTACATGTCTGGTCGGGCTTGCTGATGGCATGTTTCACCCGTAACCAGCTAATTCACATTTACCCCCCCCCCCCCCCAATATAATTAGGAACAGTGTTGCAACTTGACTTTCGCTTTGCGCCATTCATGCATTGAAAACGACGTTGTCCCTCATTTTGAGGCGTGCTGCGCCGCCACGAATGTTCCTCAAAATTTCGTTGCGAGCACCTAAATAATGAAACTGAATGTTACTCTGTTTTACTTATCAGTTACTCAACTTCAGCATGAACGAAGCCATATTTGTTTACTCAGCACGTGTAGTGAGGTGTTCTAAGACGTCCGTGCTTGTACAGGCGGCCGGTCACGACCAGTTTGAGCTGCCTGTTTTCGGTGTTTTGCGCAGTACATAATTTCAACGCCCTCTACTAGTGTTTTTCATTAACACTGATATCTTTTTTTTTACATAAAGTCCTGGCAATGAGTTCTTTGCAGTGTAGCCTAGTTTACAGTAAACTGTGAATCAGCACAGGACTTAAACTACTGCGCATGCGCGAAAAGTACTCTGTTTGAAATAAACAAATGGTGAAATTGACAAAGCCTGCCAGTGATTACCGTCTGGTTGATTTGATTTAATTTGCTTTCTGGTGTTGTTTTGAGAGGTTATATTAGAAATATTCTGTTGATTGTATGTCTTAAAAAGCAAATCCATTGGACTTTCTTTAGATTAACATTTATTTTGTCTTCATTGTAAGGGGAATTCCCTTCGCATTTATAGTGTTACTTGTGGCCCCAAGGGAATTTTCCATCCCTCCTTCACTGTTGACAAATAAAATGCTTCATTTGGCAGATTTAAAATGATTATGCAAAATGCATTTGCAGGGAGGTTAGTTTCAGGTAATGCTGTTAGCATATTCTAATGGGTGGGTTAAATGTTTAACTTCTACTTCTGCGTGTTGATCATAAGGTCTTATTTTTTGAAAGGCAGTGGCAGTGGTACCAAACAATTACAATGCAGTTTGTAATCTCGTAAAAATTGGGTTTTTAAAATGAAGGTCACAGCTTGGCATACATCAAAAGAGTTCTCAGTTATTACTGGAATCTTCAATAATAATTAATATGAAACATACAATATAATAAGTTCTTATGTGTGGCCTATTTCTTAGCCAAATTGATATTTCGTTGAATTAAGAGGTTACAAAACACCAGAGATCGTATCGTTGACCTATTTCACGGATCGAGGCACCATATTTTTTTCCTGTACTCTCAAGAGCCATTATTTACTTCAAAGAAGGTCATGGCTTACTCTCAAAGCAAGCTCCCTGGAGCCAACTTGCATACAACATAACTCTGCTTTATCATTTTTTTTTTTTTTTTTGCTTCCCAAGCAGTAATTGTTGTGTGTTAATTATGTGAGATGGGATTTTAGACTAGGTAATGGAATTTTGTTGACAAACTTATTGAAAAAAACTGTCATCAATATCACAATGCCTGGATGCCCTTTCTTCTGTATTAGCTTTGGGTAGGTCAGATAGCTTAGGGCCTATTGTGTAATATCCATGCTACATGTATGCATATGTCATGTCATCATAAGTATGTCTGCCAAAATGGGCATGTTTAAGGATTTACAGGAATGAAAAGCAGCAACTTTAGAGGTTGCTCGGCAAAGTTTTATTTAATATATTAATCAGTTTAAGTGAAGTAACGATTAAACTATCAAGAAATAATTGTAATGGGGTTGTATTTAAAAAAAAAGGAAAAAAAAAACAAGGTGGAAAAGTAGTTTTAATGTGCAAGCTCCAAATATAATTGAGGTTATACAAATAGCTGTCCCACACCAGATTATACCTTCTTCATCATATATCACAAATTTGCATTTTGACCCCCTTTTGAAAGTGAATTTGAACAAAGTTTCACTTCATTTGACCGTATTACGGTAATTAATTGGTAGAATACACATCTGAGATGTGCCTATTATTGGCAATGTTCCTATTTCGGCAGGACAGTTTGAGGAACAAAGCAATGTTTAATATGTTCTGAGGTCTGACTTTTGCATTGCTATTTATAATACTACGGGAATTAAAAAACTTTTTTTTGCTCTATTTAATAATTACATGAAAACCTTTATGGCGAAGGAAGTCACTGGGCTACTTGACTTACTTGGAAGATAATAATAATTATGCAATAAGGTTTCAGAAATTAAAATAACATAATGAAAATTAACTGAAAAAAGATGTATATATATGGCAAATAATTTTAATTATATTTTGCTTTTATTGCTTTTATAATGAGAAATTAAAGTTGCAACTGAAAACAGTTGTGTGATTATTGACTTAAAAGGGTGCAACTTATATATATATATATATATATATATATATATTTTTTTTTTTTTTTTTTCCATAAATAAGTTCCAGGCCTGTAGCTAGGGCCAGGGTTCTGGGGGTGCGAAAGAACCCCCTTTTTACATTTTACAACTTTGCTGTCTTATTTCATGTATGGTATCTGTATATTGGTCAGTTTTGCTGTCTAGTTTATCTATTGAAATTGAATTGACTTCAAAAAGAAATAAGAGTCATTATGTTAAGGTATGTTTGAAGTGTTCAGAAATCATAAAAAATGACATTTTGGTTTGAAAATATTTTTACATGGGTTATTTATTATTTTCCTCCAATACTGTAACCTATCCCTTCTTTTTCTGCATATAAAAGACAAAATGCTGTTTTGAATATGAACTTTTTGTTTGTTTCTTCTTTTTAGCAGAATGTTCAAGTTCTCAGCTGGTACAAATCTACCATATGACGAGTTCTCACGACATAGAAAGATACGACAACCTAGGGTAAGAGTATTGCTTACCAAAATGTAATTATTTAGTACATCCATATAAAATTACTGAAAATCCATTGTTGCTTGTTAGTAGGCATAGCTGTATGTGTTAGGTTAAAATTTAGATTGTTTTAAAAATTATTACTTTATTTTTGTCAATGTTTGGAAGTTTGACCAGACAGTGGCCGCATTCAGAACAGTGGACTTACTAGCCTGCGGGTCAAATATGGTGACTTTTTAAAAAGCTCGCCATCTAATCCGCTAATAGCCACTAAGTAGAATCCCCTTGGGAAAGTATTCAAGTGGGTCGGCCATATTTGACCCTCAGACAAGTTAGTCCACTCTCCTGAATGCAGCCTATCATTTAGTCAAATTTACTTTGTGATAGAAATATTGTTGCCTGTTTAAGTTGGTATCTACCAGTATGTCAAATTTAATTGAAACACTCTGTGCCTTAGGGTTCTCTCTCAATGAAACTATCATACTAGTACTAGTAGGAAGTTCGGACTAACTTAGCTCGTTCAGATTAACTCTGTTGGGACTCTTGTTGAACACAAATAGATTAACAGATTAACGTGCCTCCTCCTGGTGTTCAGTAGAATACAGAAAAGCTGGAGATTCTACGAGTACTTCGGAAACAAGAGGAGGTGTGTTAATCAGTTAATCTGATTGCTTTAAGTGAGAGACCCTGTGGGTTCATTTTGAACTGCCTGGTATGATTGCTTCACTGTGAACGTAATCCCTCAGTCGAGAAACGAGGGGGTTGAAAGTCCAAGCAAAAAGAACATTGAGTAAATTGGTAATTCTGATATTTTGTCTTTTTTTTTTTTTTACACAAGGAGCACTGAGGATAATATGTACATTGAGTAACTTCATGCTTTGGTTTTTTTTATTGCAAATGTTTCTATGAAATATACCACAGAAGCTGAGCTTACTTCCTGTTTGCCTTGATTTTAGAGTGAATACTAAATGTCATTTCAATCAGTGCGTGAGTAATCTCAACACCTTTGTTATACTTAATGACTACCCTCTACCAGGGCGACTGATAGATTTTTACGGATATTCACAGATATGTCTCTAGCTAGATAGATTGTCATTTTAACTCTGACTTAGAGTACTTAATGACCACATTTGCCAGGAAGGAAGCCAAGATATAGTAGTACATATATTATAAGTGTGCTGTGCTAAAAAAATACAAAATGCAAGAGTTACTTCTCTGCCCAATGTAATTTTGGCTGGAGAGTTCAACCACCTTGAGAAAACAAGACCAAAGTTGCTGTTGTTTTACTTTTGAAACTGATGAAAAGAGAGAAAAGAAAGAAAAGCATCTTGTTAACTTCTCAGGATGAAAAAAAGTGCTTTTGCTCTGGATTTTCAGGATCCCATGTCTCACCGTTTGATTGAGAAGAGGCGAAGAGATCGCATGAACAACTGTCTGGCTGATCTTAGCAGGCTCATTCCACCTACCTACCTAAAACAAGTAAGTTTAGATCTAACATTCTCCTATCTCTAGACCACCTTGAAGCAATGATCAATCTTTATCTTGTAAAGCAATGTTGTCTGTCATGGTGAAACATATTTTCTTACTGTATCAGTTTGTCAAAAAAAAAAAAAAAAGCCAGGGAAATTTTAAAGAAAAAGAGAAGGGGCAATGAGAGTGGATGACAGCATATAATGGAAATCAAACAAGATAACCCAAATTCTTGCAACTTGGCAAGGGGTCAGCTTATATTTTATGGCCCATTACTGATATCCAGGCTCTAAGCTATCTCAAGTGATCACAATTAAAAAACATTCTATATTTATTGCTTTTTTTTTTCAAAGGTGCCATACTTACTAATTGTATGTTTGCCTTAGAGCCTATTCAGAACAGACAATCCAAGGATCTTCTGATCCACAGGTCAAATATGGTGGACCCTATATTAAAGGAGAGCCGACTAATCCCCTGATGGTCTCCCCGCCTCCACACGCCATTAAGTGGATTAAATCATGGGTTTAATTGTTAGACCTCTGCAAGGATGGTGCGTGTGGAAGGGGGGAGATGCTCACCAGTCTTTCATGTAGGGTCCGCCATATTTGATCTATGGATCAGTAGATCCTCGGATCTTCTTTTCTGAATGGGCTCTTACATGCATAAAACACAAGTTATGTTTTTGTATTATTTGCAAGACAGGACAAGTAACCTTTTGATTGTTTAATTTTGATCTAATGGAATTAATCGAACTGTACTGTCAACACATTAATTTTGGTTTAAAATATCAGTTTGATTCACCAGAAAGCTGGGTGCAGAATTTTTGTACCTATTTTGAATGCAAATTTCTCCACTGAAACAGACAAACAATAGAATAAGACCAGAAATTAAATCAGTTACTGAGACACTCTTATTTTATATCATCTCTAGCAAGGTCAGGGGAGGATCGAGAAAACTGAAATAATTGAGATGGCGATTAAATATATTCACAATCTACGAGAGAGAGCACAGCATGGCCCACAGGGCAGACCAGGTATGTGTCAGCATATAAAGTGAAGTTTGATGTCCATAACCCCATTCAGAATAAGGGACTAGCTAGTCTGCAGGTCAAATGTGGCTGACCCACTTGGAAACTTCCCCATGGGATATCTATTAGCAGATTAGACGACAAGCTTTGTAGTGGGTCGCCATATTTGACCCTCGGACTAGCTAGCCCCCTAATCTGAATGGGGCCTATTCCAAGGGTGGGTATAATGAACTTGAATTCAGGCCTTGTTTTAAATTAAATATACTATACTTGTTTTAAATTAAATTTACTCAGCTTTTTGCTCTTAGTTTTCCTTGTTTTTTATGTGATAATTTGTGACAATTTGCAAATTGCTTTTGGTATATCATTTTATACTGCAGTAAGTGATACTGACATTTATGTTGATGTTATGATGTTTTAGAAGTGCAACTCAACACAGCGGATCTCTCCGAAGACAAATACCCAACAAAAAAATGTTGCCAACGTCATTTTTATTATGGGTTCAAGGAGAGTATGGATGAAGTGGCAACGTTTTTGGTGGAGTGTCAGGGTTCCAGCCCAGAAGATATGCTCTACCAAGGCATTATAAAACATATGGAAAGGGCAAGCCAGAAATATTACCCAGGTAAAAGAAAAAAAAATGCACTGATACCCTGAACCCACTGTTTCTCAATGATTATGCAGAATTCTTTACACCCTCCTTACCTTATTATATTATGGTTATTTTCTTCAATGAAATAATTCATCCTTATGGGCATTATTTTCAGTGTCTGAGTCATAGTTTATATAAGCCATGGCTCTGTTGACTACTAGTCATGATTTCTGACATTTGCTGAGGAAATGGTGATCCATGTTGACAAGTTTCACAAAGTTCTCTTTAAATTTCTTATATTTGTACAAGGACTGGATAAAGATGTTCCTATTTTTCTCACAGAAGTTAGTCAGAGTTTTTAAAAACCAGTAAAAAATGACTGGAGTCCTTATTTTACTGTGGAGGTTATGCGGCATGGCTTTAATACTGTCAATATGGAAGGCTGCATGAGTGTTAAAAACTTTTTGTGGAAAAAGATATTATTCAGCTTTTAAACTATGATCTGATTTTTAGATTTAAATTGAGCATTGCTTGAAACTCGTGCTTTATGCTAGCTATGGTGAACATTTTCCATAATTTCAAGGGACAGATGCACTTATACCAATTAATTCCAATTCTTTTAGGCAACTACAGCAGCATCCCACAAGAGCCACCAGCAATGTGGAAACCACAAGATTCCATGGAAAGCAGAAATGAAGACGAGATGCAGATGTCCTCGTCGGGCATTGGAATGACAGATCACAGTAGCACACAAGAAAACTCCCCCACAGAAGTCTCGGATTTGAGAAGCAGCAGTGGCGCTGAGATCAAAGATGATGGTTTGAAAAGCCTCCTATCGAATTTGCCAAACAGTGAGGAAAAAAATACAGAATCTACGACTACTGTTACTGAAATGAAGAATGATGACATTTGTGCTGGGATGGATGAGTCTGTGGAAGGAGAGTACCTTGAAAATGGGGAAATGCCGTCCCCTATCGAGGAACCTACCGACCAGCAGTGCAGTTTGGACAGCAATGGCGACAAGGTGTACAAATTCAAAAATATCATAAAACTGAGATTCACAGAGGACATGAAAAGTGGGCATCGCTACAGTAAAACTGGCACTTCGAGTTCGTCCAACAGCTCCAAGGAGGAGAATGACAGCGAGATGTTTCAGCTGATGGGGAACCAGTTAAACTCCTATTGTGGAAGCTCGTCCTCCACAAACTATCCAAACTCTAGAGACAGCTCCACCAATGGGTACAGCTCCAATGGGAATGGCTACAGCTCTCAAGGGAGTAGTGGCAGCGTGGGGCCCTCCCCGCACAAACAGCACTCCCACAGCCACAACAGTCACGTGTCGAAAAAACAAGCCAATAAAGACTATATGGAAAGAGATATGAACGTCCCAGGTTTTGCCATGCATCCCTCAGCAACCCATTACATCCCAATTATGGTCCATTTGTCCTATTTGTCCCCCTTTTTGCAGCATTCTGAAGTGGAAAGCGTGCATCAGATTTTTCACCCAATCAGCATTCCTGTCAGGCTTGGAGGGCCTGTCATACCCCCACCTCTTGTTTCGCTGGAGGGCAAACGAGCCAGTCATAATTGATAATGACGTGATGGTGTAGATGCCCTTTTGAAAGCTGTCTTGAATAACTGCCTTTCTGTTCATTTTTAACTATGTTCCCAATGGCATGATAAGTTTCTCACTGTAATGAATTATTTATTGCTGATTTTTTATCCATTTATCAGTTTTCCTGTTGAAACCTAAATACAACTGATAATTTATGCTGATACAGGATAAGCTGAAAATTGGGAATAATTTCTCTCAAACAATCTGTATGTAGACTTCACTGATTCTGAGAGAGGCTGTATGTGCTGGGGCCACCTATGTTGGAAGTTCTAGTTATAAAATGTTGGGTGAAGGCTTAAAGGAAGTGGAGAAGGGGGGGGGGGAGGAAGAAAGTGGTGGTGACCACAATAAATTTGCCAGTGTTAGTAGCATTGTAGTTTGTAGGATAGCAATCAGACCAAACAGATCTTTGGATCTTCAATCAAGCCCCCAAAGTATAAATATAGTAACAATGTTAACTCCTGGATGCCATAAGTCATAAAAAACTTTAGACTCATTGTCAAAATTCATAACAAGACCAGCTGTGAAATATATTTTGATTGCTGAATATGTTTAACTGTGATGTTAAGTAATGTGCGTCTGAACTAGTTTCACTGGCGAACATGATTTCATTGTCTTGTAAGTAGTGGTGGTATTAAAAAGCAAATCATTTTGTCTCTTTAGAAACAGTTAACATTTTAAGTATAGTTTTACATTGTCATTGCAAAGCAATGGTTAACCAATATAAGGTAAGGTAACATTTGTCGTTGAAATTTATTATTATTGTTATTAGTATAAAAATTATTATTTTTGTTATTATTATTATAATTATTTTTATTGGTGGTCTCATCAGAGAAATTTATGGAAATCAGCATTTTTATTTCTGAATATGAAAAAGACTTCTTTACCAACTTCATTCAATTTATATATATATGTCAACAAAATATAAAGATTGCTTTGTTTTTTTTTTTTTCACATTTTTCAAGAGGATAATGTATTGCATGTAACAGGCACTAAAAAGAAGTGCCCTATGTAGTTCAGTAAAAAATCTTTTTCGTGAAGCACTCTGTAAAGTAAAACCATGCATTCCTGCTTTATTGTGAATCTTCTGAAAAAAGTATTTTGTGTATGGTGCTATTATTAGCTATTTATTATTATCTATTTATTGGTTTGAGGAATTTTTCTATAAGGCTATGACATGTATGATAAAGAGCCAGGTTAACTGTTAAGTTAGTATGTTGACCTGCAGATCAGGGTTCCGTAACTCGAAAGCATCGCAAATTGCGACCGAGTGAAAGCATCTCGATTCCATACCTTGGGATTTACTAGCCCTATATTGGCCCTAACAGCCTCAAAATGAAAGGTGATTCTCAATTCGAGATGCTTTTGAGTTACAGAGCCCAGGTAAGCATTTGCAACATTACTAGTCCATATGTTCTGGCCAGAAAATGTTTAGAAATGAGCATGTCATTCCATTTTTGCGAGTGTAAAATATCGGGACTTTTATAAAACCCTAATGTCCCAAAGTAATTACTTTTGGGCCCATGAACTTCATATTCTTTACCACTATACCATGATTTGAACATTTAGACTGGAACTTTTTTCTATCGGTGTGGTGAGTTGGCCAGTCAGTAGGAGCAGTCAAATTGACTGGCCAACTCACTTGTGAACTTGACTGTTACTGTTTATAAGCAATGAAAAAGAAAGCTACAAGAATGCTAGTGAGTACGGTATTGCTCAGTATGTTCTAAATTCTAAAAGGTAAAGATCATATTAGCCATAATACCTTCTAAAGATGCCTTCCTATTAGTTCAAATGGTGTACATTGTTCAAGGACAATGAGTTATGCTTTTTACTGATGACTTGCCAGAAATTGGCACATCAGTATGTATTATTTTAGACTTTTTAAACAAGATTTATAAACATGAATTACACTCCTAATTACGGAAACGATACGTTTGAAACAATATCGAAGGACACCTTATAGACAATGCTGGTTGTTTCAGTCAGAGATGTAAAAACTACCTAAGGCTTGTAAAATTTATCGGTATAGGTCCTCTATGTTTTTTGTTAATAAGGTTTCATCGTTTGCTGTAATACTTCTTGTACAATTTTGCCAGCCTGTATAATCATTGAAATTCTCTTTGGCTTTATTTAGTTTTCCTATGTTATTGTCTGTAATTGCTCATAGAATAGTTGAGTTTTCTATAATTATATTTAAGGGAGGCCTGGTGCCTTCTAAATTTTTTTGTCCCAGTTCTGTATTTATGAGATTCAAAATATTTTGCACATTAAAATTTATTATTATAATTTATCATTGTGTAGCATTTTTGGGATTCCCAAGAATGGTTGAAGGCCACTTGTTACACCCCTTGTTATCAGGATGATATTTGTAAGTTGTTGTAAATAACAAATATTTAGAAAATATTTTGTTGTTATTTCTGTGCTCTCTTTTGGACATACTGGAAACTTGAAAAATTAATTAAATAACAATGATAAGTTGGATCTGACAAGAAGTCATGACAGTTAGTTATTTAAATTCAGGTTAAAAAAAAAATAGTGCGTAGCTGTCTCTGCATCTAACTCATGTTACACTTACTGCAAAATAATGAAAACTTTCATGCCTTCATACACCAGTGATGTGATTGTGCAATTTCAATTCAATTTGGTCTGTTTAAAAAAGTCCCTTAATATAAAGACGCACTGATGATTTTTTTTATATTTCACGTAATATTCTTAGATTTCCTGTTAAACCCATTGTTACAGGAATGAAATTTTCCAACCATTGGCAAATTTGCGACTTTTGGGAGCCAAGAATGTCATAGAATGTCACAGGTGGCCACCTGCTCCTCAGGCCATTTTTTTTTTTTTTACTTTTTCAGTGAATGGCAGTCTTGTCTCCGTTGTTATCATGATGATATTTACACATTGTTTTAAATAACAGATAGTGAAAAAAAATTTTTGTTTTTTGTTTTTGTTGCGCTTTCTTTGGATATCCTGGAAACTTAAGAAATCTATTTAGGTGATGTGTTAACACTCCTTGCATATATGGAGGATTGATTTTTTTTATGGCATCTTAAGTCAGCACAAGGCTGCAAACATGGTTCTGGGATACTCATGGTTTCAATGGGGAAGATGATTATAACCAAAATCTGATTTTTTAAATTTTTCAATTGAGTCAAGATTTCTGCAGATTCTCTTGAGGCTAGTCATGTAACAAAGGATTGGTTTGTGCACTGACGGAACACCTTTAAAGCCTCCCTTTCTGCCCCTGCTATTTGGCCCCAAGTTTACAGTGTGATTTTGACACCATCCGAAGTATTTGGAAATTTCTTTGAAGGCGTAAGATTCAGTTTGTAAAGATTAATTGAGTGTTAATTTGCAGATACACAATGCTTCGCTGACACCTGCTCGCCAGATGTTCCGCCTCTGTTCACACTTGCATTAATATATTAAAGTGACTATGCATTTTACTTAGTGGAATCTGACGAGAATTCATGGCAAAAAATGTTTGGTTGTAATCTAGATTGAGAAAAAAGCCTTGTCTCCCTCTGCCGTATGTAATGGCAACCCCAAAACAATGAATATTATGATAATGATGCATTTATCTAGTGCCTGATGTCACAGTTTATGATTGCAACTTTTGTTAAAGAAAATTTCCTGTACTCACTTCTAGTTATCAAATACACACAGTGATGATTTTGATATTTATTTTAATCATTGGAAATATAATGCTTAAACAGCTTTGAGAAGTAGTGTCATCTTTCAAGATGAGCTAAAAACTATGACCAAGTTTAGTTGTTGTTGCCTTGTGTAAGTGCAAGTCACTGCCTTCATGTCAAGGCTCTATTCAGTCTACTGCTTTTGCTATCATATCCACCCAAACAGGAAAAATGCTTTACCTATATTGCTTTGCAAGTCACACCAACCAGATGATTAAAAATCTGATAGTCAGTAATGAAGTTCAACTCAATATTACACATGTCCACATAAAGACAATGGATATGTTCAAAAAGACTTCTGGAAGGTAATATTAAGTCTGAAAAATATCCCACCTCGCTTCTGTTCTGGGCATATTTTTCCCAGTGGTTTGTCTTGCAAAACAGCTGTAACCAAAAATTCAGAATTCCCTGTAATATAAAAAATCAAGATTAAAGAGACTGTAGGCACAGTAGTATCTTGTTGTACAGAATATGAATGAAATATGTGACTGAAAAAGCTTTCTCAACATTCATTATTGGCTCTCAACTGTTGCTTGAATGTATTCTAATTTTTTAAAGGCTACTTTTTTGCCTTAATCAAATAAATGATGACGAAATTATGTATTTCTTACATTTTCACCTAGGCTAAGCATGAATATTGAACCCAGGCAGTAGATTCATTACCGCATTAGTAAGACACAATGTAATATTTCAATGGGGCTGGGGTTAAGTCTTTGATCTAGGTACTGAAGTAGTAAGTATGGTGCATTGAAACAATAATGAGTAGCAAAGCTTTAAAAGCCAAAGACATTTATCCATTAATTCATTTTCATGATTAACCTTTGGGTTAGAGACGGATTTTGACATTAAACAGGGTGCATATTGATTTTTGTCTTTATTAAAGCACATTTCATTTCATTTAAAGAAAAAATAAATTTCCCATGTTAACATAATGGATGGATCAAAAAAGGAAATTTCATTTTTTATTAAGCATCTTCATTAAAAAAACAACTGATGTTTAGTCTATTAGCTAACCTGTATCCACGATGTTGTGTGGACACCATGGAACCGGCCAAAGAATCTTCTTCTGAATCTGTCTCATATACCGGATTATCAAACTTACTTGATGTCAGCTTTGCTGTTGATTCTGAAAAAAAAAAATGTACAAGTCTTTTTCTACACTGACACATGTAACAGTGTTATATAAGCTACACTTACATATATACAAACTCTGCATCACTTGTCCCTTTATATTTCAAATTATTGTTTATCTTTCTCATTACATGCAGTTCCAGGCTATCAAGTATATAGGAGGGGGTATATATTATCTATTTATTAGTAATTCATTTTTCAACTGGTTTATTTATTGCATGACTCCCATGTTTACTACTTTTCTATAGCTTTAAATTGATTGATTGCTTGGTTCCTGTATGACTACTGTACTTACCTCTTGTCGGTAGTTTAAATTCCCATCCAACCCACTTTAAGAAGATGCCTATCAGTATTGACAAAACAACAATGCCACCAATCACTGAGCCCACTATAGCTAAAGTTTTATTTGACCATGCCAGCCTAGAATGGAGAAAAAAAAACAGTTGCTTAAATTGTAATATTGTCAGCTTTTGGAATGTTTTACTCTGACAAGAAAAATTCTTTTTTTTTCTGTAGTACTAAATATTTCTCCCTCTTACATAATAAAAATAGTTACATAATATAACTTCCCCTTATATAGATACATAAAGCAACTTCTTGGCATCATGAAATTTTTCAAAGATGGAACTTCAGTTGGAAGCAAGGAACTTGATATAGAAATGATCCTTTAAGATTAGAAAACTGCTGATGACGCTGCGATTTTTGATGGAAGTTACTTTTTATCTTATTTCATCTTCACCACAAAACCCCACCAATGGTCCTTTCAATTTCATGGGAAAAAGCCAACAAATATTTTAAAAAAGAATCGTGTGTGTGTGTGTTTGCGAGAGAGAGAGAGGGGGTGGGGGAGGAGGGAGGCAGAGATATTGTATGGTTTTTATTATAAGAAATAAAAAAAAAAAAACAATAATAATATTAAAAAAATTTGTAAAAATAATTGATTAATTGATAAACATGTACATACCATTCATCATTTAAACCTGCACCATTCTCTTCTGTGGTCATGTTAACTGGGCTGCCAGTAGTTCCCTGCTGAAGAGCACCTGCAATACGTACATTTGATCTCAAAATTATTCATTTTAATAAATCAAGCTTAAACTCATACGCTGACATATTTACAACCTCGGCAAATTAGAATCAAATGCTAAATCTTAATCAGTGCCCTCAACACTGGAGAATGTTAATTAAAATTTATTAACATGTTTGTATTTTTGTTTGAAATTGCTTAGCCTAAAGCAACTTTGTTTACCCAAGTGTTGTAAAGGAGATGATTACTCAGTCTAAATTATAACACAGTTGTGAAATTCCTTAAATCTTAACTAATAAGAATTTGAAATCTTTATCGTATTTGTTAAAATCCATAAATAAGACTTTGAATTATTGTATTCTATGATCCTAGCAAAAATGTGAAAAAATAAATTCTTATCAAATGAATGAATGCAGAAAACTGTAACTGATCTCAAACTATTATAATTTTGCCGTCCTTTACTCTACGAAAAAGGCAGAAGAGGGGGAGGAGGTGGGGCATTGTGGGACATGTGTCCCTTAGCTTTGTTGGTACCCCTTCTCCCTCCCTCCCTCCCAAAAACAGTTAAAATAATAACAAAATTAGACAAACCCACACCATTGTAATACCTGTGACCTGCACATTTGAGAAAAAAATGGCTTTGCCTAGGATTTTAGATACAATTAGCACAATTAAGATGTGCGATAATTTAAACCAGATGTTCCGCTGTTTTGCAAAAACAAAACAGGATGTTCAGTTTTATTCCATAGGAAACACTTAACAGTTTATCTGATACTGTTATGAAAGGCTGTTCTAGTTTGGAGTTTGGAGAGGTGGGAGCTGCCTTTCAATAATGTACCACCAGCACTTGGGAAATAATATGGTTTAAAAAATGGGACAGCAAAATATGCACACCTGTACCATGGGGATCCATTATCTTTTTTTGAAAATTTATCTACTCATGGTTAAACAGTAAGCAGTGGTAAGAAGCACAAAGGAATTGCAGAAGTGATTGCAATTAAACATCTTACCTTAGAAGTCACAGCTAATTTGTTTATGCTACGAACATTTTGATTCTCAAGGTGCCGTCAACTTAAAGTTTTAGGGCCCTTGATACAATCTTTGATTATATAAAAATTAGCTTGTATCCTGTGGGAGTTTTAACATAAATTTTTTGTTATTTATTTTTTATTGTTTATTTCAACTAACCTCAGGAAGGACATGGGGAAGAGAATTATTATTGCATTAACCATGTTTGTACCCTATGGGTGGCGGTTTATACAAAAATTAAAAACACAATTAGACGTTGTAGTTTTTCAGATCAGACGGCGATACTTTAGAATTAAACGAGACATTTCTGAATTTCACGCATTAAAAACACGATTGACATCATAGTTATCAGATCAGACAAATTAATTAAACAAGTTAGACGTCGTAGTTATCAGATCAGCAGCAAAATACGACTAGTCATGAAAATGCAACTAAAAGCGATAACTCGATTTGACGCTAGATGGCGCTCATGTACGAAAATGAAGGCCAAGTCACATGATCCACAGTGATCAAAATGGCGTCCGTTATTGAAGCAGCTTCCACATTCCTTGCTTGAACTCAAGAATTATATTATGCGTACAATCTAATAATGATATCATACTAGATGACGCTTTAATCATAAATTTCGCGGTATTGACTGTGACGTCGGTGCAAGGGTAGCCAATACCATTGACATGAGTGCCATCTAGCGTCAAATCTAGTTATCGCTTCTAGTTGTGTTTTCACGACTAGTCGTATTTTGCCGCGTAGTAGAAATGTCTCGTTTAATTCTAAAGTATCGCCGTCTGATCTGATAACTACGACGTCTAATCGTGTTTTTAATTTTTGTATAAACCGCCGCCCATAGTATCCACAATAAATAAATAAGCAAAATAAGAAATGCAAGCAACATAGAACAAAAAGTAATGCAAAACCTGTCATTTCTGCCTGAAAATGCGTTGTAGCCTGCCCACCACCAGACAAACCACCAGCCGCTGTGAGGCCGTCATGGGACACCTGGGTACCATAGCCTGTAGGCTGGGTGACTTCCACCATTGTGGGTGACACAGATGGGGATTCGGGTGACTTTGAAGCAGAGGAGGCACCAGAAGGCAAATTACCAGCTGTAGAACCTGATGCAATGGAAGGGTTTGGGGTTTTATCATAAGGTGTAGAAACGGGTGTAGGACCGGGTTTAGTTGGTAGGGGCGGGACTTTATGAGAAGGCAAGGAAATGGGTGTAGGACTGGGTTTAGTAGGTAGGGGTGGGACTTTATGAGAAGGCAAGGAAACGGGTGTAGGACTGGGTTTAGTAGGTAGGGGAGGGACTTTATGAGAAGGCAAGGAAACAGGTGTAGGACTGGGTTTCGTTGGTAGGGGTGGGACTTTATGAGAAGGCAAGGAAACGGGTGTAGGACCGGGTTTAGTAGGTAGGGGTGGGACTTTATGAGAAGGCAAGGAAACAGGTGTAGGACCAGCTTTCGTTGGTAGGGGTGGGACTTTATGAGAAGGCAAGGAAACAGGTGTAGGACCGGGTTTTGTTGGTAGGGGTGGCACTTTATGAGATGGTGAAGAAACTGGTGTAGGACCTAGTTTGGTAAGAGTGGGTAATTTATCAAGCGGTTTGGAAATGCTTGTGGAAGCCATGCTGCTGGGAGAAGGGGGTATGGCATAAGTAGTTGATGCTGTAGACCTTGGTATGGTTTGGGTGGGTATTAATATCTGTTTTGGTGTTGGTGGAGAAGGAGTATTAGCTGGAGTTGTTGACAGACCTGGCTTTGGAGGGGTAGGACTACCTGTTTGGTTGGTAGAGACTCCTGGTCTGAGGGTAGGGCCTCCTGGTTTGAGGGTAGAGGCCCCTGGTCTGAGGGTAGGGACTCCTGGTTTGAGGGTAGAGGCCCCTGGTCTGAGGGTAGGAACTCCCGGTGAAGGTGCTCTGGAGGGCCTAAGTGTGGGTGTAGGTGTGGGTGACCTGGTGGTCAGAATTTTGGGTGTTGGTTGTGGTGGGGATACTGTAAAGTTGGCTTCTGTACTTGGTACACAAACAGGATATCTCAGGTGGCTTGTCCAAATACAGCTGCTCATGGCTGTGCAAGCTTCTTGGCCTTGTCTAAAAAAAATGTTAGTCTTTTAAATCAGATTTCTGATTTTCTAGTTAATGCTAGACCAATCTTTTTCTTAAAGAAATGGGTGAATAATGCACATGAAAACACAAAATGCAAAAGTACTAAGTTACTATATTCTTTCTTTCTTTTTTGTGTCTGCAAGCATGGATGACATGTTTTGTGTCTGCAACCATGGATGACAATAATTAAAATCTTGAATTTGACTGCACTGTTGGTCAGTTTTTAACTTCATTCTGTACCTGGGTCCATCAACCTTTAATTGCCCCCTTGTCATGAAAGTACCCCTCCCTCAATATAAAAGTGAAAGGAGGCAAATGATTGGATACTTAAAGTTGAACAATTTTTTCATCCCAGTTATACATGATATAGTAAAATTCCCTTCAGTGAGTTTTTTTCATATTTTTACCCCTCCTCAAAAGCCGAATCCTGGATCCAGCAGGGCACCTGTTTTTGTAGAGGTGTTACCATTTTAAGCTACTTACACTTCAGCACAAGACCTGGGACATGATGGGACACCAGGTACAGCCACTGTTGGTTTCACGTCAATAGTCTTTGACCTGCTTGTTACTGAATTCAAGACAGAGCAACCAAAATGAAAGTTTTAATATACATATCACAAGGAGAAACTTGTACATTTTATTTTTAAAAATCTATAGCATGCTTCTGTAAATTTAAAGTTATGTTAAACTTAAAAATCTAAATAACTTAGAGAGCATTATATTTTATTATATTCTTAATCACAGCTTTATACAGGAACCTTAAGACAATATACCTGGACAAAGAGAAGTAAAACTTGTGATTCCATCAAAATCTGAGCACAAAGATGCACTTCCGCTCTCCTTACAAAGAAGCTCAGAAGAACGGCACTGAAAATATTCTTTGTTTTACTTTTAGAAGAACAAATGTATTTCAAAGAAAAAAAATTATATATGATAAACATGAATTTTGTAAGAACAGACAAACAATACTAGCTCTCTTGCAGCACCATGAACTTGTTTGAAATCTTAGTATTCAATATATCTAACAATTTTGCCTAAGGAGACTAGAAAGTTTGGCTGACTTTCAATTTTCCCATTAATTGTCTTCTGTCTTGTAATTGGCTATGTAATAAAACCAGAAAATCTCATATTTTCACACTGATAATGTACACAGAGGAAGGTGGGAGGAATGAAGGAAGGGAGGGAGGAAGGAAGGAATTAAAGAAGGAATAACAACATAAACACTCCAATAAACAAACAAATACAATACAAATACCTCCTTAGTCTCCCTCTGCTTAGGAGAGGGCGGACATGTTGAATTTCCTAAAACCACCAGCAGGTACATGTTTGTGTCAAGTATTCTCTGCAGAACAAACTGTTGGCAGCCCCCATTGACCTGGTACAGACTGCTGGTGTTCAGTACTAACTGGTAGGAAGGACCAGAACTGACTGGAAAACAGCATGCCTTGGCCTATGAAAGGGAATGCAAGAACCTTTACATAATCTGAAAATTTATCATTCCCAGCGGGCAAATCAACATTGAATCAATGTTAAATCAACGTTGATGGTCAACGTTGAAACTATGTTGATATGACGTTGACTATGAAAGTTGAATCAACGTTGAACCATCAAGGTTGAATCAACCTTGAGGTCTCAATGTTGAATCAACGTTGACGGTCAACGTTGAAACTATGTTGATATGACGTTGACTATGAAAGTTGAATCAACGTTGAACCATCAAGGTTGAATCAACCTTGA